GGGTGTTAAGAGTTTATAATTTTTTAGATTAAATGTTTACGGCACTACAACATGTTTAGATTTGTGGGAAACAAAGAGGGGGACGAAGTGAGCAGATGCGTCCTTCCATTTTTCTCCTTTCCTTCCCTCATCTAGATAAGTGAAGAAATTAAAGAAAATAAATAAGTTTCCTCCACTTCCCTCTAATTTTTTTTACAACCAAATAAGAGAATTTTCTCCCCTCCCATCCCCTCAAGCCAAACATATTATTTACATTTAGATATTTAATAGTTAAATGCTTATAGTGTGAGGTTTTAGATTTTTTAAAGTAAATACTTATAGTGTTAGGATTTAAATTTTAAAGGTGTAATTGCACCAAACCAGAAGTCCTTCTTCAGTCCGCGCTTGCACTCCGGGATGACCTGCAAAGCCCCGAGGTAGAATTCGGGGTAGACACTCCGATGCTTAAGTCAGCAATAATCGGGGCTACCTTTAGGGCGGAGATAAAAATAACTTAGGGTTGGTTTCAATTACCTTTTGACGTGGCCCGGAGGGGGTATTTATAGGATCCAATGAGGAACCCACGTGGCATGCCAAGCAAGATAATCGGAGCCTGACGTGTCTATCCAGACGATTATTCCGGGACCGGGAATTTGAGAGGTATTCAGATGCACGGGTGTCCACCATACCTGCTGTGCTACTCATCATAAGGAATCAGGTGCGGACATGCTTATTGTCATTATCATGCAGCTATTTGAGCTGGAAGCTTTGGATTCATTCCTCACTTCGGTCATAAAGGAATTACTGTAGCAGTCCGAGGCTTGGCACCTCGGACCTGTCCTTACACTATTCCCCCCCCGAAGTCATTCACTTGTGAATGATGTTGCTGGGGATAATGAGGGGATTGTGTGAACAAGGAGAACACGGATAAGTCATGGAAGTATAAGGAAGAAATTTGTAATGTAAATGTAGTCATAGCCGTAGCTAATAATGAAGTATGTAACAGTGGGTCATAATAAAAAATGATGACTGGAGTCATAGAGGCCAGGGCCGTGATGGAAAATGATGACCGGAGTCATACTGGCCGGAGCCGTAATAAAATATGATGACCGGAGTCATAATGGTCGGAGCCGTAATAAACTATGATGACCAGAGTCATAATGGCCGGAGCCGAGGTAGAGCATGTGACGTGGTCACAGTAACCAGGACCGAAGTAAAACATGTGTTTCTGTGGCCGGAGCCGAAGTAAAACATGTGTTTCTGTGGCCGGAGCCGAAGTAAAACACTATGCCAGTTAAAAAGTGCAATTGTAGAAGTAAACAGAAGTGTTGAGCTAGGCTTAAGTATAAGACGGAAGTCAAAATGGCCAGGGCCATAATAAAATATAATGACCGAGGTCATAATGGCCGTATCCGAAATAAAATGTGTGACATTGGATTACTGTGGCCGAAGCCGATGTGAAATGTAATGCATGATTATTGTGGTCAGAGCCGAGGTGAAACACTTGCACAATTGAGAATATACAAAAGGGAACGAAGATGTTGAAATGGGCGTAGGTGGGCCTGTGTAAAAGTACTGACATAGGTGTGACAGTTGTCCTTGAAATGACGTGCGCAATAAATGCGGCTGTAAAAAGGTAACTGCTGCAGCTAAACGGGCAAAAATTAAAAAACGAACCGTCAAATTCAAAACGGTACCGTTTGGGGTTGGCCGTCGAATTCTAAACGGTGCAAATAGGAACCGTAAGATTAAATGGATCTCAGCCGTTTAGATCTAATTTTGCCCAGAAGTATAAATAGGCATTTTTTCTGCAGAAAAAAGTTTACTTGCATTTCTTTTCCTACAAAACTTCTGCGAGAAGCTTTACTGTGCATTTCCTGTTCGTGAACTGCGGTATCAACTGGGGATCTCTACATCAAGTCTTTCGAAACCGAAATCAGGTAATGTACACGAACTTCTGATTTTAAGATAATCGAAGTGTCACTCTCCTTTCTCCCTTTCTGTGATTGATTTAGAGTCCTTTGAAGGAAGTTAGGGTTAGAGGCGAGAAGGATTTTGAATGTTCAACAAAAA